ATTTCTCCAGTAAAACTCTAAAAACTGCAATTGCATAAACTCATAATTACTTAAAACACAAAATTAACTCTAAAAGGGTATATAAAAACATTTTGAAAACAATAAGTCATGACTTTTTAACAAACTGGGTACTATCCCAGTGCTTTGTCTTAGAGAGGGAGGGGGTGGGGGGTGGGTGAACTGCCCACCCTGCTGCTGCTGCAGCTCTGCTCTTATCTTTCTTCACATTCTCTACATACTCTCCCAGCGAGGAAAAACGGAGAGAAAGAAGAAAAAAACCTCACAAAGTTAACTTTAACAAATGCAGTTTTTTCTCTCAATCTCTCTTGTTGTTCCCCGATAGAGGAAAAGAGGGCACGATTTTACAAAAGCAGGCGATGTTACACGAAAAGTCTCTCACAGCCAGGTGCTAATTGCAGCTTATCAGCGTGGCCTTGGAACTTTTCTTGCGCTGCTTCTACCCCAAGGGTGCCTTTGTTCTCTGCACCCACCTCAGTGCTCCCCCATGTCCCGCTGGTTCGGGTGGAAACCAGTCTAAATTTGGCTTCTTTTCTTCCAGGGTAGTAAAGATGGAACTTAAATAAGATTGTAATGTTAAAAGTGACTCCAAAAATGAAGCAAATATTTCTGGATGTATCACATCCTGCCATAACTGAACAGATTCTGTTCGTTGTTTCAGCGTTCGCTGTGGAACTTTTTTTTCTCATTATTTTCTTCTCTTTAACTCTCCCTCCCTCTCTCCATGGGCAGCATAGATAGGAGTGCTTGCCCAGCAGTGGGAGGTAAAGGCATCTGCTGCTGTGACGCAGGTAGAATTACGGGGCTCACAGCCTCAGCATATCTCGCTTTTCTGTTTTTTTTTTTTTTAAGGTATTAATTACAATCTGCCAAGTTCGACCAAGAGACACAGTGTCCTTGCTCTTTTCCGTAATTGCCGTTTCCCATATCAGCCAATATATCAGTCCGTTCTTTCACTGCAAAAAGCAGTGTGGGCACTGCAAATGCCCATGACAATTAGCCCATATAATGAGCATATCCAGGTCCTTTTCCCTGGCTGCTCCACTTCGTTTAACGAGGATGCAGAGAAGCAGTTTATCCACCACTGCGAATTCCACATCCATGCTAGCGGCCCGCAGCAGGGGGGAAGGTTGCTACACTTCTACAACGCCCCTGCCTTCGGACTCCCCCAGCGACTCACCCCCGTTGATTCGCGAGCCGCCTATCTGGTACCGATCCAAGGCAGCATCTATCTGCACTCAGATCGCTCCACCAACCTCAGTCCAAGGCTCCGTCCCACCGTGCGTGGATCCACTGAAGCCCCCCTGCCCGCAGGGTGTCCCGTTCGGAGAGCCAAATATTGAGAGACCGCCAGCTATTCACCAGTCTTCACAGAAATAATTGTGAACGCTGTCTATTTCTATCTTTAGCACACCTTTTATAGGGTTCTACAGGGTCTGCGGGCAGAGCAAGCTACTATTGGCTAACACACACAGTTTACATTTTTTCTCCTACACACAAGAATATTGTTTTGCTTTACTCTCTCTTCTGCATGAAGGTTTCAAGGACTTTAGCCTTTAATATCATGACTTATTTCAAAGGCTGGTTTGTGCACACAGGCCTTTACTAATATATAAAATATAGCAACAATCACCTCCATCCCAAGAGCACACACATCAATAGCCAGTTATCATAAACAAGCTTTGATTTACACCCAGTACATTTTGTCTGATGGGACAGTCATAATAAGGAGGGAAAAGTAATGAATTAATACAGTTTTCAAAGAGAGGAGAAAGGGCTGTGAATTTAAGGGGTCAAAGGACTTAGATCTCTTGAGAAGACCATACTTCCAGATCCATTATTTACGTATTCAGCTTTTTCCAATAGAAGCAAATAGTTGATGCAATGCTGTTAGCAATAAAAACTTCAAACTAACCTTTCTTTTTTCCTTCTGTAAAATGGAATCTTCTACGTTAACATACAATGTGTATGTCATGTTTTATAGGAAAACTTTTGCAAGTCAACACTGGTGCTAAAGAGCAGTTGTTTTTTGAAGCACCTCGGGGAAAAAAACAGACTATTCCAAGTTTGGAGGTGAGGAACTGTACTGCTTTCTGAACTTGTTTGTTAAATTAGAGTTATGATACAGCCATCTATACTACCTAAGAAGGAATGATGTATAAACTTTTAATTTTAAACTTTTTAAATAATAAAATATTTTTTTTCTTCTATTAAGAGAAACAGACATTTGACTGATTTAGTCATGAAAATCTCACTAGAATTCTATGTGTCTTTTCTGGTACTTAAACACCTTTGAAAACTTATTGCAGATTACTTAGCCCTCACCTTGCTGTGAAAAACCTCAGGTTTGCCTTTATATAACAGTTGTTCAGTTTACATAATACATATAGGCAAGATTAGTATATTGCAGATATCATTTTGTTTTCTCAGGTATAGAACAGTGTCATAGGGCAGAGAACAAAAATGGGTAATTTCCAAATGATATTTTCCACAGTATTGAAAGGCAGTATTGGAAAATATAACTTGTTTTCTTTACCCTGAAAGGGTAGCTAAGGTAAAAATTCTCAAAATACTTCTTTAAGTTTTGGAATTGAAAGTTCATACAAGTAAATTTACAGGTCTCAAATAAAATTCTGAATGGTAAAAAAATAAGTGATTAATACATTAAAATACTATCTTTTAGATGTATCTTTCAGTGCGAGGACTTTTTCTTGAAATTGAATGTGGAAGAAAAATGCCTAAGAAGTATGCTGTGTCTCAAATGGGTTGTTTTTGTAGGTAGAAAAGATTGGCTGGGCATCATGGACAAGTGTTTTGGGCTCTTGCTGTGAAGGGATCTGGCCAATAATTGGTGAAGTCACAGATGTAACTGCTTCATGCCTCACTAGTGATAGTAAAGTATTGGCCACAGGAGATGATTTTGGATTTGTGAAATTGTTTCGATACCCTGCTAAAGTAAGTAATTTTCAGCTGTTTACAGAAAATATTTATTAATAAATCTACCTTCTCAAAGCTGTGAAAATTCATCACTCAGAAGAAAATAATGCATTTATATTTTTCTCATTTTGATCAAAGAAAGGATTTAGTATTACACTGCAGTAATACTGCAATTAATGCAGTTTGCAGAGCATTAAACTTGCAAGGAGTAAGAATGATCATTCCAGGTCAGACTGTAGAGCCCTCTCATGCAGTGTCCCTGCTGCTGACTGTGGCAAATTAATAGAAAAAACTTTAAGAATGAGAATGCTTTGGAAGACAATGAACATGTCTTTCTCACCTAGATTTAATTCATGATTTTAAGGACCTTCATTCTGCCCAATATTAGTAATTTTTTTCCTAAGATGAAGACCTTTAATATTATTTAATCACGCATCATAGAAAAGCCATTCCAGAAGCACATGGTATTTTTCCTGCTCTTCAAGTACCTCTAGTTTTCCTGTATATTTGGTGGTAAATGTGTCTTCAATTTTGAAATGTTACCGTGTTAAGGATGGTAGCAGTGCACAAGTACTGACTCAAAATATTCTGTGAGAAGTTTATTCCAACTCAGTTAGATTGTCTTTCTTAGGAAAAGCTATCCAGTGTTTATTGCTGGAATTTGTTTATAAACTAAAGTTCTTTCATGCTTGATATAAAGACAAGGTTAACATTTTGTGAAGTTGCTATAGGAAGGGCACTTGGCAAATCGTGTTACAATCATATGAAATACGGAACAGCTGAAGCATGAGCTGTAAAGAACATGATGTCATTGTCCACTGGCAACTCATTTCAGTTTTGTCTAGCAGACTGCATGAATTTGATTTTTGCCTTTTTTCCCCTCCTTAGGGAAAGTTTGGGAAGTTTAAGAGGTATGTTGCTCACAGTACCCATGTGACAAATGTCCGTTGGACCTACGATGACAGTTTGTTGGTCACTGTTGGAGGAGCAGACACCTCCTTAATGCTGTGGACTTATGAGATGGAAGGACATCGGGATAGCAGGCAGTGTGACAGTGAGGAGTCTGATCTAGATTCTGAAGAAGATGGAGGTCAGTAATAATTTAAACAACTAGCTGGATTATGCTATTTCAAGAAGATTTTATTAATGGAAAACTACAAATTTAGAAATAATTTATGGATTTTTTTTCTATCTTAAGTAGCAAATACTCCTCAAAAATGTTAAATAAAATTTGGTTTTGGGGAAAGGACTGCTGTGAAGAAGATGATAATGAAGTGTTTGAGTTACTGCTTTGAGTCAGAGTACATAAACAGACTCTTGATATCTTTTAAATGAAAAATATCAATTATACCTAGCTAAATCTATATTTAAAATAGAATCATCACGGTTTAAATTTGGTCACTAATTCTAAAGAAATTATATTGAAATCTGTATAATGTGAGATCATACTTATCTTGATGCAATAGCATCTACTTCCATAACATGGAAGCATAGCTGATTGAAGTAGACTGAAGTTTATACATCTAATTCAAGGTCAAAGCATCAGTGGTTACAAAGTGTTAATTCTATCTTGTAGCATTAACTTCTTCTGCTTTTTCCATACTTATGTTTTCTTTTTCACGTTATAATTCCAAGGGTTTATGAGCCTCTAGGCTTGTTTTGTCTTCTCCGAAGTGCAGTTTTTCCTCCTTGTCAATTCCTCAGTGTTCAAGCATTTTTAAACTATCACTGCTACTCATTAAATAGTTCTGTGTAATAAATTAACTTCAGGTGTCACTTAAGCATGCTAAATTACCAAAGAAATACATTAAATATTGGAGACATATTAAACATTTATTGGAAAATGATTTTTAATCACCGTCTCTCTTAAAAGTACTGAAGAGTACATTCACAAAGTAAATTAATTGCCTATAGGAGAACTCATCAGCTTTAACTTTCTTAGTCAAAAGCTGCAATCTTCAAAGTTTCTGTTCAACCTCTTCTTGAGACCTGCTATAACATCTTAGCCCTATAATCTTCCCTAGGCTCGGCTGCTTTACACAGAACCCTCTTAAGCTGTATGTTCAAAAGTACTCTAAAAGAGCAAGGTCTGTGAAGATTTACAGGAAAAGACATTGACGTCTTTATCCACAGAGGTTTCTCTTGGTCAGGTCCTGTTAATTTCAGAGTTAAGACCTATTCACATTGTTGGCATTAGTAGTCTCTATCTTTGAAAAAACAAAATAATGGAGAGTAAGTAACAAACCTGTCACAACTTAGCTTTTCCCACATATTTATTTTACTATAATAAACATCATCTTGATGTGCCTTGCTGTCCCTAAGCACTGCGTAGGAACCTTGTGCAGACCTATAAATTCCATAGTAATGGATGGATCCTGGAACCGAGGACAACCAGGCGCTGAATCTTACAGTTCTTAAGAGCAGGTGTCAGGTAGCAAGGTTCTTTTTTAGAGATTGTGGTTATAACCAACCAAGCAGAATTGGGGTAGCTTTTAAAACCCCTTGAGTCTTTAATAATTTTTTTTTTCCCCTCAAAGATATTGTAGGGAAATCTTTTTTTTACTGTTTTTTATTAACAGTGTTCATTATTCCCAGCTACTTTCTTCCTGTTGTGTATTTATGTTACTAATAATCCATGCTATAATTGCTTTTGTAATTTAGTACATTGCTGAAATCTGTACAATTTAAGATTACATTGTTGTTCTTGTACCTTATTTTGGTTTGATACTCTTCCCTCTGGTTTTGTTAGGTTATGACAGTGATGTGACAAGGGAAAATGAAATTAATTACACCATCAAAGCCTTATCAACAAACATTAGACCAATGTTTGGAATTAAGCCTCATCTGCAACAAAAGGAGCCAACCTTAGATGAAAGGTAATTACTAAATTACAATTCTAGAAATCAACCAAGAAAAGATAATAGTACAACAAAATTATATTGGAATATATAATTCTTAACTTAAAAGGGTATGATAAAAATAAATAATTCTTTGAAGAAAAAAAGAAAGGTGACCCAAAGGACTAGACTGTATCTATTTTCAGAGAGCACAAAAGGCTACAAACTGTGTATGCATATCTTTATGTTTGGGGAGTTCCTTGAGATGATTGAATTATTTGCTGATGTTTAACAATACGGTTTTTTGAAACTGAAATGCTGACTGGTAGTTAGCAATGGCATTATAGGCATGAGCCTGTACGATTGTTTTAGTGAAGGACAGCTCTCCATTTTTTGGTTCTTCCAACAAACTGCTCTGATGAATTTAATTCTAATTGCTTCTTGCATTGCTTCTGTCTCCACATAATTTCTACCTTTCTTTCACAAATTCTATCCACAGTGGTTCTGCAGTTTTTGTTAATGAATCTTGGAAAATGAAGTTGGCTGCTTTGCAGTGTTAGTTTTATATCTTTGTTCACTATTGTGTGCTTTAGAAGAGAATGGGATGGGGAGCAGACTGTAATAAACTCAGAATATAAAGTAGATGAAAAAGAACAAAAACAATTTATAACCTCTAGAATATTATCTGTTGTAGAATCTGCAGTTGAGCACGGGACCCTGGAAGTTGTTTGTTGTCCATAAAATAGATGTGGACTGTATTTGTGGGGAAAAAGGCAGGAGAGATTCCTAATACGGCAATTGGGGAATGCTAATACTGAAGAGAGGGAAGCAAGGAAAGCAGGAGGATGTAACAGGGTGTAAGGATGTGGTGAAATAGGGGAGTAGAAAGTTCTGCAGGAATGCGAGGAGTTCTGGGGCAATGCTCAAGCCTCGTTCCACAGTGAAGCTGGACAGGTCTGTGACACCCTTGTTGGGAAATGCAGCGTGACTTTTGTAGGAGTTTCGTATCATCCTTTGGTTCTAAGTTGTGTGCTGTAGGAGAGAGTGAATAAAGCCTGTGTATAAAGCTGTGGTTCCCTGTCTTGCATTTATGAGAGGTGGTCTTTCTCTTTTTTAATGTGATGTATTTGATGTGGAAATCAAAAAGAAATAATGTGCAAGGTTATGAAAATGAAAACTTTGATTTAAGATTTTTTTTCTTTTAATGAAATTGTAAACCTCTTGTGTTTCTATCAATAACTGTTTCTGGAAATTGAGTGAACTGTGTTTTTCAGTTTTAGATAAATTACTAAAAATTAATTCTGTAGTAAGGTAATTAAATTGTGACTCAGAATGCAAAAAAAGATCATGAAAGAATTCCATTATCTGCATTGTTGAAAAGTTTGGGGCCCTAAGACTTGAAAGAATTTTTTTTTTGTGAAGAATAAAACCAGAGTATGGTTACTGTATGTATTTTAACTTCTGTTCTAATGTTAGTATTGTGTAAGATTGGTAAATGTTTTAGTCTACTGTCATAGATACTAATTTTGATTTTCTATTAATTCTTTATTTTTGCTTCCTATGAAGGCAGGGGGTAGTAAGGTAAGTTCATGTACATGAAGTCCAGGATTAAATGCATTTTAATAACTTAAGCTGCATGGGAAAGTAGTTACAATTTGCAAAAGAAGTGAAGTTACCTCTTTAATAGTAAAGAGTAGCTTGTTAATGGGTAGAAAAGGGTTAAGGGACAAAACATAAGTGCAGTTCTAACTCTGAGTTGACATGAGTGAATGCTGGAGTATTTGGGAGGAGGTGATCAAACCTCATCCTCCTTTCCTCAATATTTTGGAGTGGCTAAGGAGCAGCTTGACTTCATGTCTGAGAGCTTGCCTAAGTGCTTGCAGCATCAGGCTGGAGCCATGAAAGCTTCGTGGGTGAAGGGAGCATTCCTGCCTTGGCTGCAGCATTTGCCAGCGCACCTGTGCTGCTCGAGGATCTGAGCTGCTGCTCCACGTCGTGTTCATGTGGGAGCCCCTAGGGTAGGTGCCTGCATTAGGTTATGAACTTCTGCACCTGCTCTATTTAGAATATATACATATGCAAAAACGTGCTGTGAAATTTGCAGCACGACAAATCCTCAGGCCAACCAGCAGACTTGCACACTGAGCTGCGCCTGTGGACTCAAGATCTCATTCAGATTCATTTGGTCTAAGGTTTGTTTGCAGCATTAAACACCAGCTCTACTAATGAAATACTATTCTCTAGCAGTGAAATTACCATGCTTTATCATTGAAATTGGAATACTTATTTTAACTTTTATGGGAAACACAGAATGGCACTGCTGTGAGGCAGCACTTAGGTCTGTAATTTGAATTATTTATAATTTCTGAATAATAATGTTTATAGAAAATATTTTTATGTGAAAGATGTGTACTGTGTGTGTAATTTGGTTGTGCAATAGCATTATGGCAACACAAAATACATTTGAAAATGGTTTCTATCCTTTACTAAGAATTCTTTCCCAGTACATTTTTGTGCTAGATAAATTACTCAGAAAAAAAGTCTGTCATGGTTGATTTTGAAAATGCTTCTGACTCAGCTACTTCCTGAACTGTGTGGCACTGAAGGTTGGGAGATGCCTCTGGAGTCTAATGCTCCATTCTTATTCTGTTCTTACACTCCCTGAAGCTGGCTATTTGTGGCTGTGAAAGGGGCAGTGCTGTGATTAATGTACCTTACAGACAAATGTCTGTACCAAGAGATCTCAAAATTAAACAACCAGGACCTTCAGTAAAATTTTATCACCATCAGTTTTAAAGATTTGCAAGCAGATAAAACCATTACTTATTCCATGTGCTGAGATATCTTGCATGAAAAGACCCCTGCAGCTTATATATTTTGAAAATTCCTTTGGTGTTCTTCATACATTCCCAGATATAACTCACAACCAGGTGTTGTGGCAAAACTGCCTCTGATTAAATTAATTTATTAATTAATTTTATTCTTGAGCATTTTTTGTGTGTATAGTCACATACTGACAGATGCAAAAATAGATAGCTTATTTTAGATCCTTATGTATTCAAAATGGGAAGCAACCTGAAAAGTATTTACAAACTAGTCCTTTACAGGTTGACAAGGGAAGAATTTTTTTTGTATTCAATACACAGAGTAAATAAATTTGAATTGTGCTTCCAGTGGAATGAGAGAGGAAAGGAGTTATTGAAATGAAACATTTTTAATCCAAAGCTCACAACTATCTCCTTGTAATTGCCACTGAAGGAGAAATTCTGAAATTTAATATAGACGTCTTCCATATATATTTTGGATAAATGAAAGGAATGCAATTCCACTTTTGTTTGCCAGTCTAGTGACTTGTGATATGAATATAAATAATACAAATTCCAGAGCTCTTTTTGTAAAAAATCATCTTTATTTTCTTTCATTTTGTAAACTTGTGTGATTTGGGAGAGGGGGGAAGCCAGGAATAAAAATGAAAAGGGAAAAATAGCAAGTGATTTTACACCAGCAGCTTCTTCTCTCTGTTTACCATATTTATAGAATAAATTAGATTACAGAAATTTTTTAATTTAACGTTAACTTAAAAAAATCCCTGGTTTTAGAAAATAGGGTTTTTTTAAGCCAGCTTTTTTGTCCATTGGAATGTACACTAGTGCAGAGCATTAACCTTGGGACTGAAAATCCTGAAATTTCAGAAGTCATTCTTTCCAATCCTAAGTTTAGTTATTATCAGTTACGTATTTTGCAAACTGTAGACTGGAACAATATGATGGAAAAGAATGGTCTCCCTTTACTAGTTTGAGGTAATTATTTCTTCCTCTCAGAGGTGAGCTAAAAGCCATGCTCTGAAGAAGTGAAAAAGCCAGTTACTGAAGTATAAAGGCTTATCAAATAATCTCAATTTTGAATGCAAGAAAAAAAAAAATCTCTTCACTTTGCAACTAAAAAGGAAATGTCTAGAGAAATGATTGCATGGTCCAGTGATGAGAGTTGAAAGATTTGCATTTGGTTTATGATCTGTGTAGATTGGTTTTATCAACAGGATCCAAGTAGTCCTTGCTTTATTGTGAAAAATATCTGGAGGTATTTGAATTTTGTACTCCTTGAAGAATTACATGCTATTGACTGCAATATTAGGAAATAATCTGTACATGCCTGTATGCTATAATTATTAATAATCGGTTTTGGTTAGACAAATTATATAGCCAAAATATAGGAGTATTTCATCATAAATGACTGAGGAAACCTATCCAGTGCAAAGTATCTTCAATCAACATAAACTGAATTAAGTAGTCATGAAAAAATACTACATATCAGTACCCCACACATTCTGATTAGCTGAGATAATTTTATTTTACTATAAATGAATGTATTTTTGTGACTGAACTTAAACATCTGTATTTAATAGTGAGTTGACTGTTCCATCCATCAGCTTATTTCAGGAAGTTAAACCTGCCCAACTTGTCTTTGAATTAGTCAGGTGTTGTGTTTGCTGACTCTAGACACTTGGTATAGTTCAGAGGATTTTGGTTCTGCTTCTGCTTTTTTTCTCTATTTACAGTAGAGTTATTCCAAAGAATTATATTCTCATGCCAACATGTGTTCATAATTCCCATTTAAGTGAATGAGAGTTTTCTCTACAAATAATAGATTTATATAGTCTATGAAGTGAATAATCCCCTTGTAAAAAGAAGTGTACAAACCAGGAAGTCAGCAATAATTACCTATATGAATAATTCAGTGGCACATAAATTTTAGCCAAACTTGTATAAGTAATCCTTTTCTCTTTCCCATCTGCTGCTGAAAAGAGGTTCCAGGTAATGCTTTTATTTTCTTATCTTGCTCATCTTTTACTGCCACCTCACATTTATTTTCCTTAAAAGCCATCTGTCATGTTGGGTGCCATACCATGCACCTATCACTCTTCAGAATATTGCTGTATGAAAAACCTGAAATTTATATATATTAATTGCAGTTCTGTTTCATACAATAAGCTAGATAGTTTTACCTACCAATATGAACTCAAATTCCATGAACTATTATACTTTCCTGTGTTTCACAAGTAGTATTTTTCAGTAATATTTATAAAAATATAAAGATTAGCCCTCTTTGAAGCCCCCTAGTGGAAAGCTGTTTTACATGTGATGATTTGACATTCTCACCTGACATGTCAAGGTGTATATGCTACTAAATTATTTAAGCATTAGATTCCCTTTATCTGCATTAATGAGTATAAACTGGCAACTGCTGCTCATAGGACACATGAAAATAATTATAAGTCATTTTTGTCAAGAAGTAGTATTTTGAAACTACCAGCCTTCATTATCTTCTAATGGAAATCAGACCTCTGTAAAGTGTAACAAATGACTTTGAAGAACTTGCCAAGGGTAAATGGAAATAAGTCCTCCTTACTTTTAAAATTAATTTTGTACTTTATGCTTGCCTACCTTTTGGGGAGGGCAGTGCAGGACACTTCATGCTGAAGAGTAGTGCAAAATCAGTTGCTAAGTTCTCTGCAAGCCCCACTAAGTATAAAGTGCAACTTTGGTGCCCCACATAGGAAGGGAGTTTTTCTTCTGTACCAACAACTGTAATTTGCTCTATGAAATTGTGCCCAAAATAATACTTGTATTTTTAAATCAGAAATAAATATTGTAAATCACACTGTTATAAGTTACTACAGATCTCAAAGAATTGGTGGCGATTTTGCATATAACAGAAAATCATTCCTTGTTCTGTTAGTAACTTTAGATACTCAGTAACAATAAGGAAAATATGGAATGAAATACATCATACAAAAATGGGTAGTAAATATTTAAGCTATGTCTAAAACTGTGAACACAGTATTTTTTTGTTTCAGAAACTACTTCAAAATGCTTGTACTCAATTTTTCTGGTATCATAACAAGAAATATTAAAATATATATACCAAATCTATTTTAATGTTGAAAATAAAGTGTCAATATTGAGGTATTTATCTCCCTTATGATAGATGGCTGGAACTCTCCTTCCCCATGCTAAAACTGACCCTATCCATACGTGAATTCACCCCAACATGTTATTCGTGCTCTCCTTCCCATCTTTTCCACACAGTTTTTGAGCATGCAGTCAGTTCTGCATGCAGGTGTATGACCACTGTGTGTTCTATATGCCATTAGTCACTTTGCTGCACATTACATAGCAAATATAAAATATTTTCAGCTTTCACACCTTTAGAAAAGGACTTGGAAAATGTATTCTCATATCTTTCAGCACTCCTGTTTTTAAATGCTCAAGTTGTTATCTTGAAACTTAGTTGGGAAGAAAATACATGCATACTTGTAATTTCCAGTTCCACTGCTCTGGATCAATATAGAATTAGTCTTTCCTGGACAGACACTTAGATAAATTGTTTAGGTGACCTGTAAGATAATGCAGATGAGTAAAAGTGTTCAAGTTTTCCTGACCGAAGTACATTCACTTTATTCTGTTGTGTGGTAATGGACAAATGCGAATGTACTCTAATGATTACTTAAGGATGATATCAACCTGTATTTGTATCTGTAGAGCCTTTAAGTACAGATGATCTTCTCAAGCAGTTGTAAAACGTGCGATTGTTTTGCCTCTTCTCCCATTTATCTATCTCAAATCTATCACAAGGGATTTACAGAGAGCGAATGTTATAAAAATGCTGCGTTCTAGAACCAAGCAGCAGAGAAATATTCAGTTCCAGTAACATAAACCTCTGTTGGGACCGTGTCCTTTCAGTTTTTACTGCTTTCTTCAAACTTCAAATACGTTCTGCTATATTTAATTTTTCTCTTTTTTTTTCCCCTCCAACTCATTTTTCCCTCTGTGTTACATGGACATAAGTAAATTAGGACCAGGGTAGGAGAGGAGGAAAGAGACGAGGTTTGAGTGCCCTGGGTCAAATATGAGGCTGACAAGTGGAAGAAGGGCTTTTTATGCTGTGTTTTGGTAATTTCTAGAGGAACAGTAATGAGGCTGTTGCAGAGTTTTCAATGACAAATCTGAAATTAAAATTTTAAAGTCTTTTGAAGCATTCTGGAGTGAGCTGTTTTGCACTAAAATTAGGCAGAGAAAAGGAGGTAAATCTAAGAAAATGATATTTTATTTGAATAACTGAAAAAATACTTTTCACCTGTCATTCAAAATACACAGTGTACAAACAAATCATATTCTATCATTCTGAGAAGAGACAGTCATTATTTTGAATTAAAGTTGTTACTCAAGAGCAGAGATGAGATTAGAAGTATTTAATACTAAAAAAGAATATGAAAGAGACCTCTTGCTTCATGTTTGATATTAGTTTATTACACTGCATACTGGATTAAATCATCTGGATATCACTGAATTTATACATAGAATTTACTTTTAAATTAATTGTTCCTCTTAAAGATAAAGCTTAAATCACAGCCACAAGTGCTGTATCTATAGAATCAGTAATCAATGCTCCTTCAAATTACTAGGAATAGTTGCATATATTTAATAAATAAAGCTTATTTGTTTGTGTGTTTCTTTGTATAGGTACAATTGAATGTAATGTGAAAGATGTTATGGATATTTGTTAAACATATCTAATTGATATTTCTAATTAAATCTGGGCTATTCAGAACAGTGGAGCATAAGTTATGCAGCATGGTCTTGGTTTACTTCCATGTAAGCTTTGATCAGTATCTCATTTCAATTATGTAACAGTGAATGGGCAGGTGCATCTGTTGTTCTTTAGAAACTATTACAAAAGTAGGAAAAGTTAGGGGTCTGCTGGAGTCATGTGGGCAGAGGCATTATTAGGTTAATCAGAGAAGCCTCTAATCAGTAAAACAGCTGCAGAGAAATGAAAGTATCTTGAAAACATAGCTGGAAAAAGCAAAGAATATTTTAAAAGTGGTCAGTCATTTTAAAACAAGCTTTTGCATTAACCCCATGGACTGTGGAAGAATTAGAAAACCTAGCATGTTAAACAAAGGATTTTTAGGTTTTGTTTTTCTCCTTTGACAGAGGTATTTCTTTTAAAGATGAGTATGAATATAAGTTGAGTGTGACAGGCTTATAAGATTTCCCTATGCATTAGCAGGTTGGAAGGTACTGTTAGTATGGAATGGGTGACGGACAGCCTTCTCTTATTCACAGTTCTTTATTTCAGACCACCAGTTAGTAGGGCATTGCCACAGCCGGAGAAACTTCAGACAAATAATGTGGGGAAAAAAAAGAGACCTATAGAGGTAAGAAAAATGCTGCTCTTCTCTTCCTTTAGGATTTTGTTTTGCCAGAAATGGACACACATGTGGACACATCAAATGATTGTTTTATTCTAAGTATATCAAAGGTGGAAATACTGAATAGTGGGTAAATAGAAAAATTAGGAGAGAAGTTTTTCCAAATTAAATGGAGTATAACTCAATTCTTAGTAATCATGAAACCTTAGAACTGGCTGTAGTAAGCAGGATGTCTTGTTTAGATAATTGGGTTGTTAAAGGGTGTATTGTTTCTAATAAAATTAACCATTTTTTATTCCAATCTTCTTCAAATTTATTTTAAAAAATCATTAAAAAATATCACTGATAAGAGTTTTAAAAATAATTTTTAAAATGCTATTAATGATGGGTTTAGCTTTGGCACCTGTGGTGGCAATTGCAAATAAATATACCAATTTTTTGATTAATCTGAAGTAAAAACTTCATCTAACCTATAGAAAATGCAGTTCTCTACCAACCCAAATATTGTTGATTCTGCAAAATATTTTGTGTAGCATAATAAACAGCATTTTGACATCAGCACTCTTGAAGTTTTAGGCTGTAATTTAGGTTTCTACTTGCTGGCTGGAATTAAGATGTGGACCAGCATTTGTCATTCATTGTTTCTTAGTGTCTTCTGCGTTAAAAGAACTTTATTCTTCACTACACTTTATTTATGTGCAAGTGTATGAGTATCTCTTTCAGTGTATATATATATATATATGTCTGTGTGTATTATATGCACATTCTGCAGCATCCCCTGAGAGGTGTGAAAGGATGACACAGCTGTGAGTGACAAGAATGAGCAGAAGATTATAAAGTTCATAACTGCTTTAAGGTTTTGCATGTCCGTTGATGAGGATATCTTTTTTAGGACCTAATTTTGGAGCTGGTGTTTGGGTATCGAGGCAAGGACTGCAGGAACAATGTGCACTATTTGAATGATGGTGCTGATGTAATTTATCACACTGCATCTATTGGCATCTTGTATAATGTGGCAACAGGTAGGAGAAAACCCACTGGAGGAAAAATGATTCGTCACACACATGGAGTTACTGTTTGTAAAGTAATTAATATGCTTTAATATTGTAAAAATATGTGGGAAAATATTATTTGTTGTTTATTGTTAATTAATTGTAATTAATTGTAATTCATTATTATTAAAGTTTCAGTATGTAGAGAATATTCATAATAGCTGCATAAGCAAACAAGTGCACTGAAACATTCCTGGCGATTGGGCTTTAAAGAAAGTCAAGATTTGGTTTTTTTGGTATTAGCTTGCTAAAATTTGCATGTTGAAGTGATCAGAGAAACTAATGAACAATGAGCTGAACAATGGGCTAATTGTAATTTAAGTTTTTTTATCTAATAATAAGTTAATATTCTATATTAACATATTTATTATAATATATAATAATTATATATTATGTACCTGTTATATAATATATAATTATATTATTTATACTATATTATATATTATTATATATAATATATATTATTTATATTAATATATCTGTATTTATGTAAGTTAATATTTTTATTTGGTTTACTTTTCAGCCATCTGTTTCACATACATTCCTTCCCAAAAAACTCAATAAAGTGAGTTTAGATAACTTACACCTTTATAAAAATATGCAATGCCATTTGTTTCTGAGATAGTTAAAAACTTAATGTGGAAAACTTGAGGGCATAGTTTGGAGCTACTGAGTGCTGTGTGTTGAAGTCAAGACAAAAAAATAAGAGTTTCTGTTTTCTGGTTTTACTCTTCAAAATGCAACATGACCATAATGCTGTTTTCTAGCAAATACTATAAAATTTTCAAACATTCGCCATTTCTATGTGTGTAGAAATGTTTTAATTAAATTTGAACTTGGGTTTGATTTTTTTTCTTATTTTTAGGCTCTCAGTCATTTTACCAGGAACACAATGATGATATTTTGTGCCTCACTGTGAATCAGCACCCCAAGTTTACCAACATAGTGGCAACTGGCCAAGTAGGTATGTTTGTATTTTTGTAAAAAGAATTAACATAAAAGCATGCAACCAGGGCCTTGTAAATCCATGATAAATCACAAAAATATTTGATTATGCTATCTCTGTTTGCATGAATGTTACTCAGTTACCTGCCCTCTTTATATGTTCTTTCAAGTGTAATTGAATAAGGTTGACAAAAATATTGAGGCATGAAAGATTAAAATTACCTTCTGTTTGGAGTATTATCAAAACGATTTTTTCAGAAATCTTAAGCCCCATTAAATTAGTCTGGTTGTATTGAACTATCAGCTTCTGTTAGACCTTCCAAAGAGTTATAGCCCTTCCAAAGAAGCTGAATAGAGCTAACCTTCATTTCTTAAAATACGTGTCAATCTTATGTAGGTTTTACTTCATCAGGTAGATTTATAATACCGACTTGGTAGTTGGATATGATATAGTCTTAATATTCTAGGCAGTACAAAAACCCTAATGGTGTTCACTACAGATAAATTGAAATTTAGAGGGAAAACATATATATATATTTCATAGTGACATTAAGAACTAGGAACTAACCAGGTTTAAAAAAGAAAAAAAAAATTCCCATTTTGCATTAGCATAACTGGTAGAAATTTCTGTTTCTAGATTTTGTAGAATAGTGATTTTTGTAGCCCTACAATCTGGTTCAAGTTTTCATAACTTCCATTGGTTCTCAGCAGACTCAAACCCATATTATTTTCTTCAGTGCATAGAATACAAAAAAAACCCCCTTTTTTGATTTCAGCCAAAAATAGTTTTTTCCCCCTTGAGGTTTGTTTAAGAGGTTTCATATAAATCCAATCAGTTCTGCAGAGTTTATTACCAGCTTTCCTGTGTCTTTTGGATTTTTAGGTGTATGTCTCATTAAAATTGACTCACTGATAATATTAACTGCTTAGTTAAAATAGCTTCCTCTCTTGGTGAGTTTCTTGCCTCACATCATTTTAAACAATTTTTTAATGGAAATTATTTAAATGGAAAAAATTATCAGCAGATTTTTGTCTATGGTTTGATTGCAAAGAACATTTGCAGGAATTACAAATCTTGTATTGTCTTTGAGAATTTGCTTTTTCATCATATTTCTTAATCTGGCCCTGTTTGCCTTTCTGTACGGGAGGGATGTGAAGATTTTTTTTCTACAGTGTTCATCTTACCCAAAGCAAAACACAAGACTTAATCCTTTTTTTATTTTCATAATCGTTTCTACATCAACTAGCAGTAGAACAATTTTAAATGCTTTGTTATGTGAATTAAAGCATATACATTAGGGACAGATGACACTTAAAAATTACATATACTTTTAAGAAGAGAATGAAAGATAAGCTGGAAGTGAAATATCTCAAAACTACTTATTTTTTTTATTTTGAAGTGATGTTAAGGATTGTATATACTCTATAAAGAACGTACTAAACTGCTGCTTCTTTTCCTACTGATATGGTTGGCACAAATAGTGTCACCATCATGATTTAAATCTTCAAAATATTTGTTGAATCTTCAGGCACTCAAATGCTACTTAGCATTTTTTCTCAATTTGTTAAAATATCAATGACATGAAAAAATGTTTTTCATTTACTTTGTCTGAGAGAGACCTAACATACACCAAAATCTAGTTTTGTAGCTCAAAATGGAAGTCAAAATATATTCATTCACTCATTCATTATATTCATTCTATGATTTATTTCTGATATGACCTCCTTTTATCAGTAATTATTCATCTTTAACAGCAGTATTGGTTCTGCTGCAATGCAAAAAGATGAGATCAAGGTGTGTGTTAAGAAATTACACTGAATGTGGCATATATTTTTCTTTAGCACTTATCTTATTTCTGATCTAATTATTTTTCTGCTGCTTTTCCATTACAGGAGACTCAGCAGATATGTCAGGTAAGGGAAACAAAATTTTAACATCTTTAGGTGTAGTTAGTCTATCTAGGAGCCTTCTGCAGCTTTATAGAGCCATAAGTGATGTGAATTCATGTTTAGTTTATTAAACCCCATGTATCAGTCATATTTCTGTCAGCACTGAATATAAGTCAAAACAGCTCAGCATACTGTAAATATAGAAAAATTAAAAATGTTAGAACACACTTAAAAACTGGTCTTGTTGGAGCATATTCCCTTCTTGCTGCTTAGTGATTAGTGACTTGTAATACATTCTCCTACTGTAGCATTCCTGTGTATGCTTGCCAGTTTTGTAGACGTGTTGGGGCTGACAACATTTGGTTTAGACCTTCAGCTGAGTGTAATTTTAAATATTAATTTCTAAAGTAAATTCTATTGAGGAGGCCTAGGTGACTGAGTGAAAAAATGAATCACGTTTCACATTTATGTACAATTGTCATGCAGTTATTACCACTGATCCAAAATGCTTTTTATTATGTCAGTTTAATTTTTCCTCTATCATTTTGGGTCTTTGACATTTTGACAGTGTTGACTGAGATATTTTTTATTAATATGTTTCTTTTTTCAACTGTAATTTCAAAAACTCATCCACCATCATGTGCGAGCGAGTTCATTGTTGAGCAGCCATAAATGTCTTGTGAAGAATCTTCAGAGATGCATAAATGTGTGGTCATGTGTACTAGAAAGTGTAATAATCTTCATGTGGATCTAAAGCTTGTTCTGTAAGAACAAATGTATATTGACATCTTTAATGTGTGTTGACTTCTCTTAAATATGGCAAATGGTGCTTGCTCTAAGGATGGGACGAAGAATATAGGTACCTTTTCCCACACTTCTAACCTGTATTTAAAAAAGCAGTGATGATATGGATATTTATATGAAAGAACATCTTTAGTCCTGCATATGGTCCCTGAAAACTTTCCCTGTCTCACGTGCCTTCTTCTTACTTCAACTTCAGTTTGAGCTTGTGTATGTTACTAAATTCTGTTGTCACTGCTTGAAACAAACACCCTTAACTATTTTCTTCTTTCTGGAACCTTTAGTCTGGAATCCAAGCTGCTGCCTGCTTTCATTAGAAAGTTGAATAGTTTTACTTAAAATTTATTGAAGGTTATTTGGCATCCTTTGTACAATAAACTTTAGCTTTTCTAGTTCCAATTTTCAGTTGTCTACAGTGATGCAGTGGTTCTTGAAGAAGTAATGTTTGTACTAGGCTGGAATGGCGAATAAAGGTTTCTAATGACTGGGTGTGGATTTGGTCCACCTTACTGAAGACTTTTCCTGTCCTGCCAGCCCATGGTGTCTTTATCTAACTGCTCCCAGGAGGAGATGACACCTTAGAACATCTCTCGTGTGAAAGTGTGGAGTACACAGGCAAGATTCACTGTCAGGACAGACTTTCAGAAGGACTCCATCATATACAAGGACCTAAGAGTCCACGTTCTCTGGCTTGCAGATCTTGCTCTGAAAAATTTTGTCAGTTCTTACTCAGGGAAACTAGGTGAGAGTTTCTGTCTGCCACCCAGAATAAAACTTTTGGCCAAGGTTATAGGGCAGGTGCACAAGTCAAGGGTAAAACAGAGTTTTACCAAGGGGAGTGTTGAAGAGTGAAAAACAGTTAAGAGCCATAATAAATCTTTCCCTTCCCTCAGCTTCCCATAAGAACAGCAAGGAGTTTGTTAAAATTTTTGGGAAGTGCTATTTTCTGTCAACTTTGGCCCTTTCTGCTTTAATGGCATGTCCATACTACATTGTAGTACCTCTCAAAAGGTAATGATAACATCATGTTGCTGCCATGAGAGGAAATTCCAATGGGAAGTAAAATAATTGAGGAAGCATGTTATAAAGCCTGTTTTAGAACAGCTGTGAAATTGTGCTCAAAAACTGAGTTTCATGCGGCTGAAACTTGCCTAAGTCCTTGTGCCTACTGTTTCCCATCACATGCATGCCTTTGAGGGCCTAGATTTAGCTGATTAGAAACACAAAGCATGAATCCAAAAGAGAATTTAGTTTATGTGAATCTGGGTCTATGACAAGAACCAGTAACCTTCAGACTCTGCAGCCAAATGTATTAGAGATGAGGAGTGAAGCAGTTTGAAAATCTTACTGTTCTGGACAGATGCTGCTCAGAGATGGTAAAATATTTCAGGATTGCAAGATCTTTTGAGAAGGCATTGCATCTGGGAAAAAAACAGCTGCCATCACAGTAGAGATAATCACATACATTAGTAGCATGGAAAGACAGTTTTTACTGTAGAGAGCTTGCAGTCTAAACAATGCAGACTGAATATTGCAGTTCTACATTGGTAAGCAAGCTGACAGTTTGGCTGATGCTCTCCTAAGATGGCAAGCATTTCAGACAGGTGGCCTTTTTGTAGAAAGGGGATTTTGGCCCTGCACTGTAAACTGATTTCTCTGCAGCTATCAGTTGTTCAAAAGCCCCATGTAGAAGTTACACTTTTGATGAGTGGCTTTATTAATGAGGGTTTTTGAGTTAGCATGCTGCTCTACATTTTACTAGAAGAAAAACTGAGAAGACAGCTTGCTTTTAGAACTTGTGTTGTGCTTCACAATTCCCATAACAAGTTAAGCGACAAGTTAAGATCTCTGGTAATGTAATGAGGCCAGCTTGTTCATGCTACCTAATGACCATAATGTTTGTCATAAATTGGTTTCCAAAGGGAGGCCAAAATTTCCTTTCTTTTCTTTCCTTTTTTCCCCCCATCTGATCACAGCAATTTTTGGGAAGTGCTTATTAAAAAGTATTGACCGCTTCAATAAGGAAACTATCACACATTTTCAAAATGAATATTAATGGAATGCTTTTATATTTGTGTAGCTACAGCTCCTTCTATTCATGTGTGGGATGCAATGAACAAGCAGACGCTGTCGGTACTGCGGTGCTACCATTCCAAGGGCGTTTGCTCAGTCAGTTTCAGTGCCACTGGCAAGCTGCTGCTGTCCGTAGGGCTGGATCCCGAACATACCATTACCATTTGGAAGTGGCAGGAAGGTAGGAAAGAGACTGGTTTTGTAGAAGCTGTTTACATTGTTAGAGATATGTTGGCTTGAGTCAAAAGCAATTGTAACATTAAAGCATCAGCTGATTAAAAATTATTACAATAAATGTGCTCTATGCTCTTTACAACAAAATCTAAAATAGATATGTTTATCCATTCTAGTGACTGCTAAATAAATCTCTGTTGAAACTATTGCGTAAAGAGCAAGATAGTTCACTGATTTCCAGAAAGAATAATGTAAGGTTTTGGGTTTTTTTAAACTGTCATCATTATTATTATTTTATTCTACTCTTAAGACTGATTACCAACTAGGTTTATCATACTCCTAAAATTATTCCACAAAGCTGCAAAGTGCAGAAATGGGGTGCCAGGACAACTCCTCTATGTATATAGTTGGTGCCTTAAGCTATGCTACATGTTTTCAGATCAGCTTTGATCTGTATTCCTGATTTAGGCTAAAGACATTTGAGTTTTTGTCCTTGTCTCCTTTGTGACTGGCAAAGCCATGCCCAGATTATGGATCTGATTCTCTAGTCTTAGAGGTTTGCTTCCTCTCTCTTTGGGTATTGTTGTTGATCAACTAATAACTCTCAGAATTCTAAAAATCAGCTATTAAGTTAGTAAAAAGTGATCTTTCACAGCTTGTCTGATAGATCCTGTGGGGATTGATGCAATGTCAGATGTTTATTTATACAATCTTAGGTAAGATGAAGGGTGTGTGGTCAGAATATGCCTGTATTCATCTTAAGGGTTGATACATACTCAGAATGGCAGCTAAGGAGCCGAAATGAGGAATCTTCATATGGATCAAAATTATTTTAACATTTTTAAACCAGAAATGTGTATTTTTCTCAGCAAATTCAAAATGTCATTTTATTTCTGCCAGGTGCCAAAATTGCCAGCCGAGCTGGTCATAACCAGCGTATATTTGTAGCAGAATTCAGGCCGGATTCAGATACACAGTTTGTTTCTGTGGGAGTAAAACATGTGAGGTTCTGGACACTGGCTGGAAGAGCTCTCCTCAGTAAAAAAGGGCTGCTGAGCTCCATAGAAGATGCCCGCATGCAGACAATGCTTTCTGTAGCTTTTGGAGCGGTATGTACTTCAACAAACCACCTGAAAATGCATAAAAACAACCTTTTTTTACCCTTCTGCCTTTATTCAGTTCAGTGAGACTTTTATAACCTGCTGATGAGTATATCAGTTGTTTTATTAAACTCAGTTTAGTATTCCTAATACTCACCTGCTAGTTAGAGCTAGTACCAGCTTTCTTTAGAACAGAAAGGACAAAACTATGTGTTTATGTTTTCTGGACAAAAAAATATAGATATTTTGAACTGACAACACACTGCCTGTTATTTAATCCAGGTAAAACAAAACTGAGTCCAGACTGCAGGAACCAAAGAGTAGAAATGAGGCTGATTTATGCCCACCTGGGGGCATAAAGATTGTTTTGTAATCTGTATGTGCTACTGCTCATGAGTGATCAGAGAGCAGTGTTGTTCTGGAGAATTCATTAATGTTGGACATCCTTAGACAACTGCATTAGGGGTTTATTTTGCTTTGGGGGTTTTTGTACATGTGCAGGCCATCTTGCTAAGTTCCACAGAGCTGCTGGGTCTGGAGTTGCTCTGCTTGGGCAGTACTCATATTTTCAGCTGGACAGAAAGCCACAGATACCTTTTGTGAAGTGGTCCTTTGCTTTGATTGCCTGCATTTCTGTTGTTTGCCTACCTTCCTGTTTGGTCCAGACTGAATTTACAGCAATTTTGATTTTTGAAACTCTAAGTGGGCTATGGGTTCCTTTTTTTCTACACTATCTCTTTTACACAGTGGTGTCCGCCTGATTTAGATGAAGGTCTTACAGGAAACCAAGATATTTTCCAAATGATAACTGTTATTGATATGCAGCCCAGGCATTTGTCAAGGGTTTGGGAAACCTCTGTAAACTTTCTTACGAAGAGACAAGTTCTTAGTGTGAGAATCAGGCTGCATGGCCTGAAGTTTGCTATGAGGTTTGAGGATGCAGAGCTTTCAGGGGTTTTGTGAAAAACTGCAAACTAAATAAAACCAAACATGGTGTGTTCTCCACACTTCTGTAGGCAGCAGTTCTGGGAGTGCTCTGCTTGATTTTGTCTCAGAAGGAGCTGGTTCAGCTCCCCCTAAACAGAGGTTGGAAACAGTTGTGCTGGGAGGATGATCTGAGGTTCTGCTCTCAATTTCATTTCCAGTCCTCTTTTACTTTATTAGAGCCCCACACATGCACCCTTAAAAAAAAAAAGATGTAGAGCATCAACCACTTCAATCAAAGAAAGTGTTTGTGCCACATGTGTACTGATACTCTTGAAACATGAGAGCACTACACGTGATACTGAATTTGAGGATTCATCTAAGTTACTAAACCAGTTTTGCTCAATAACTAGTTCCTGTTGGAATCCTAATAAATAGCCCTTTAATTTCAGAGGTAATTAAATTTATTTTTATTACCTTTCAAGAGCAGGAAGCAGAAGTAGAGAACAGGCAGCTTTTCATTTCAAGTTAAGTCAACCTGTTTTCTTCCTGAACTAAAGGTTACTGTAATCATGTAAATATCTTTGCCTAACCACAAAAATTACTGCAAGCATAATATATACAGCAAGAGGGTGCAAATTGCCTAATTGTGTAGAATGTCAGTACTTTTTTGCCACATGTTGCACACCTGATAGGCTGAAAGCATAGATAACCATATGACTGAAGCTTAAGTCATTATATTTTTTCTTGCAAAAAGAAATTTTCTTCAAGCTACAAGAAAGCATCTTTCAGACTTCAAGAAGGAATATAGTAGCTCATTATTTTGTCCCTAGAGGTCCTTATTGTCTCTTCCACAGTTTTTTCTTCTGCAACAGCAAATAAAAGCAATTTCACCTCTAAATGCAAATGGTGTTTGTTTCTGAATGTTTATCTTTCTACCTTACTCAGAATCAGATGATGAGTATATTTTTCCCCTTTTCAGAATAACTTGACATTTACAGGTACTATCAGTGGAGATGTTTGTGTTTGGAAAGATCATGTGTTGATACGAATTGTGGCCAAAGCTCACAACGGACCTGTTTTCACAATGTATACCACACTGAGAGATGGTTTGATTGTTACAGGAGGCAAAGAAAGGCCGTGAGTCATGTTTTTTCTTTTTTTTCTGCATGCACATGTACTCCTGAAAAATGGTTTGGATTCATCCCACTAACACTAGTTGAAATATTAAAGGTAGAAGAACAGTCCCTTTCAGATCCCTGACAGGTGTTAAGAGCAGCTACCACCTCCAAAGTGCAGGTAGCCCCATATGAGCTTCAACCAGCTACGTTTCCCATTGATTATAAGAGAAAGCATTTAGTCTGAAATTTAGAATCATTGAATGCTTAGGGTTGGAAGGGGCCTTATAGATTTTCTAGCTCCAATACCCATTTAGCTTTAAACACTAAGAGGTTACCGAGTCCTTGTGGGTTACTTCTCACTGAAGATGTACTGAAGTTTTTAACCCAAGTAATTTGTACAGTTGTGATTGAATACATGAATGATAAATTTTATAGCAGTATGATATACAACTTCTTTCAAAGGAAAGAACTTAGTTATGAGGCAAGCTGTCTTCTCTCAAATCTAAGGTTCAGCAAGTTTCCTTGTTTCTGGGGTTTGAAGCAAAATATCTCCTCCAGCATTTTAATATTTTTGGTGCCTTCCTCATGATATGAAAATGCTTCAGATGCAATACAGTCCATCTGATGACATGATAGGGCCCCATTTTGCAGGACACAAGCCCCTTATCTTTTCAGACCCAGCTGAAAACTAACTTACTTCTGTGTTTAAAATATTTCCTTCTGCTATTTCTAAATGTTGTTTTTATTTTATTTGGAGGATGTTCTCTCTACCACTTAGCTTCAGAGGCTCTTAATAATTAGTATTTTACCTGAAACAAATAGTAATTAATAACAGTAAGAACCCAGAATTCATCTCCCGTGGGAAAATGAAGTATTGACAGTATGTAAAGAAAATTTTCATTTAGGAAGACTGCATGTTTTTTCTGCCTTAGTTGCAGTTCACCAGCCTGTTTTGGTAAAATCTTCTTGTTGAGTATGATGATCAATCATATGTCAAAACAGTGCTAGTGGGAAGCAAGGAATATACTATTGCAAGGAGTATCAATTCATTACAGTTCTTTTAATACTACTACTACTACTACTACTACTACTACTACTACTACTGCAAATCAGTAATTGTGATTAAACATTCTGAAGTTATTTTAAAGATTATTTAGTAATCAAAGCTGTAACACAAGCACTCGATATTATGGAATATTGTATTTTTGTTTCTGCTAGGGGAGATTGAAGCCAGATAAGACGTGTCACAACTCAACTAGAAATGCCAGATTTACCACTGTTTCAATAGACATTATCTCCTTTTTAGATTTTTTTATTTTATTTTGATGTGTTCTGTACTGAAATACCAGGTTTTTTTGCAAGTGGGAAGGAAATACTTAGTGTTTTCATAATTAATACCTATTAGTTGTGTGATTTTTCTGCTGTATCTATGTAATTTATTTTACAGCAGTGAAAATTTTACAGTTTTTTTGCAAGTGGGAAGGAAATACTTAGTGTTTTCATAATTAATACCTATTAGTTGTGTGATTTTTCTGCTGTATCTATGTAATTTATTTTACAGCAGTGAAAATAGTGACATTTCACAAAGGTGAAATTCTTCTGTCATTTATTTCACAAAGTAAAATATATACCTTTTCTGTTTCTCTTAGCTATAATTTGAAAATCTCTGCCTGATTATTAAGATTGCGGTTTGCATGCTTAACTGTTCTTTCGACTACATAAATTCCCTCAGACCTACTCATTCAGACTAAGCTCAGCAGCATCCATCTTTCAACTTGTTCTGTAAAGCAGAACAGTGAGGACTTGGAATCAGTTTGTCTTGCTGCACCGTGAGGCTCAGCATAGTAACATCAACTGTTCAGTCAAATTGAATCTTTTACAATTTAAAGCATACGAAAATGCCTCATTTGCAGTGCAGTTCATTAAATAATGTAGTTCTTTCATCCATCCATTCATTCATCCATCAGCTGTTATACTTGTTTTTCCTGATGTCTTCATAGTTCAAAGGAAGGAGGAGCAGTTAAGCTCTGGGACCAGGAGCTGAAACGATGTCGTGCCTTCAGACTGGAGACAGGACAAATGACAGACTGTGTTCGCTCTGTTTGCAGAGGCAAGGTAAACAAAGCTGCTGGTCTGTAAAATAAAGCCTATCATTTGTGGGTTGATCTCTCTAGATATCAGATAAATCAGTTCTGCTTTCTCTTATAGCTAGTATTTTAAATTAAAGGCTAAGCTTTAAGTGTCTAGACTGATACTGTGGCAGAAAAACATCTACTTTGTGAGGTCTCAGTCTTTCTTAGGATAATATTCCATATGTCTTTTTATTAAAGACTAATTAAGGATTCCTTTTCTATTTTCTTTTCGCACTTCAGATATCAAATATCAACTCAGCCAGCATCATGATATCTACAGAGCTTTGTACTTTAATAAGTCAGAGGAGTTAAAAAAGTAAATTCTCTTTGATAATTTAATAACTTGACTTAAGCAAACTTTCTGGACAGAACTATAGCTCTAGATGATGTTTTAATTACTGTTCATCATGAGAGGCTAATGTATTTTATCAGAGCTAATTATTTCACTATTGTTCAAGGGGAAAATTCTCGTTGGGACAAGAAATGCTGAAATAATTGAAGTTGGAGAGAAAAATGCTGCATGTAACATTCTAATTAACGGTCATATGGATGGACCCATCTGGGGCCTAGCAACACATCCATCCAGAGATTTTTTCCTTTCTGCTGCAGAAGATGGCACAGTAAGACTCTGGGATATTACTGAAAAGGTAGGTGTTGGAGAATACTTGTTTAGGAAAAAAAAAAGACTTGTGATGGTGTTGCAGACTTGAAACTTGTTTTTTATTGTATTCTGAAAATAATCCATCTGATGATATTAGCACGTTAACAAAATGTTAGCAAAAGATGCTTTTAAAATACGGACAAATAGTAACAGTTACTGTTCTGGGTTTTTATTTCTTCACAGAAGATGCTGAACAAAGTCAGCTTAGGACACGCAGCTCGTACAGTTTGTTACAGCCCAGAAGGTGATATGGTAGCTATTGGCATGAAAAATGGAGAATTTATTATCCTGCTTGTGACCTCTTTAAAAATTTGGGGGAAAAAAAGGGACAGAAGATCAGCAATTCAAGATATCAGGTCAGAAAATATAATTTGTGGTCTACTGTAGTATGCTAAAAAGCTCTAATATTTTGTTTTTTAAAAATACAATTCTGTGTTCTGAGGAATATTGCAATGATATTTCAGAGAGCTGGAACCAATGAGTGAATTGTGGCATTTGTGGTACCAGGAGTGAAAGGAGGTATATGAAGATGAGAGAGAGCATTGGTCAGAGCACCTGGTGGTGCGGGCAGCGGTGCGGGTGGTGCTCGCCGGGAGTGGCTGGGAGTGGCACTGTCTGACACGGTGGTGGCAGCAGTGCCCTCGGTGGGTTTGCCAGCGACACCTGAGTGTGCTGGGAAAGATAATGGAAATGCCAGCTTGTCAGTTTGCTGTTGGTTGTGTTTGTTAGAAAGGAGTTAGAAGTAAAATTTTGGTTCCGTTTCCTGAGTGGAGGAACAGACTGTTTCTTCTGTGAGATAAACTGGTCATAATCAGCCAAGAAAAGTTTTGGAGAGCAAAGCGTGATGAGAGAGAAATATAAGCCAAGAGAGACCTTGCAGGAGAGCTCTGCTAGGAATTAGGGGGTGGCTGGAGTTTGGAAGCTGTCCCAAGGTATGTCTCTGAGAGAATAAAATAAAGAAACTTCTCTAGTAACACAGAAGTGGCTGTGAGGGATTTGTTCAGCTCAGGAAGCTACTGAGTTTCAAGACTGTAATGGAAAACTAGAAGAAAGAAACCAGTGTGCAAAAGATACATTAGGCAAATGTCAGGTTTCATTTACTGCTTTTTATTGAGTACATGTCATCTAGGAATTCTGGCTTCTCTTCAGTTACAGCACAGTTTTCGAGTTTTTAACCTTGTTAGTATAGGATCAGGGAGTCAGTGTCATCAGGGGGATGTCACAAATTGTTAGACCATGAGATGGTCATGAAATCAGATAATGGACAGAATTATTCAAGACATGTTCCCAGTTCACTTATATCTGTAACCTGTATCAAAATTATTGCCACCTTCTGCCAGACATGCATTCCCTGAAAAATTAATTTCAAAAATTATTTTGCTTAGCAGACTAAATACTCTACCTCCCTCCTGGATAGCAGATTCCTGAAATGGAAATTTCTGTACTTCTCAAATATTTCAATCTGTTGTAAGTGCCAACCTGTGCTCATGAAACCCTTTTATCTGTTCAGGTTTAGCCCAGACTCTCGGTACCTAGCAGTTGGTTCCAGTGAGAATGCAGTGGATTTTTATGATCTGACTTTGGGTCCTACACTAAATCGAATCAGCTATTGCAAAGATATCCCAAGTTTTGTGATCCAGATGGACTTCTCTGCTGATAGCTCTTATCTCCAGGTATCAGTCATTAATTGTTCAACTCCAACTTAATTAATGAATCCAATTAATTGTCCAACTGAATGGAAAACATACTCATGACAGTATTCTCCTTTGACAACTCCTAAATTTTGTAACTAAGTGTTGGATTATGTTGCTGTCATTAGACTTCCTTTGTTGTAAGTGGATGCCTTTAGTTTTGAATAGTTTTCCTGGAGATCAAATGCAGAAAATAAGCAAAGAAAGGTGAGATATTTCAAGCCTCCTGTGATGTGTCTCCCTGCCTTTTTACTTCTGATGCTGATGGGCTATCTTAAAAGAGGAGGGAGTACAGTCTGTCATTCTGCAGGGCCTGGGAGCCCAAGGATTCTTCATCTCTCTTATCAGCAGGGTGGCATTACATGTCTTTTTAATGCTAGACTTTGTGGAGCAGCACCAAAATTATGGTGTTGAAACTTCCAACTATAGGAGGGCTTTAGACATTTCTTAAAATAAAAATAATGTAAATATTATATGCTTTCTATATTTTATCTGCATCTGAGAGGCGAAATAAGCTTATCTCATTATCAAATCAATATTTACAGCCCAAGAGGAGCACATTTGTGTCAATTTTAAGCACAGGAATTTATTTTGCCTTATTTGTATATATTCACTCACTAACACATATGTGTAGAATGTGAGTTGTTTCAGTTATTTTTTACTAATTAGACATTTAAATGTTAAGATTTCTTATGCTTTCTCACTATTGCTTTATGCTTGTATATATTTCTGAGAATTTTCAACTCACTAAGTTTTCTTAATAGCTGTTACTTTATGGAGTAAAAAGTAGCTGTCACAAAAAAGCCTTTCAAAGCCCTCTGGAATTATACTTTCATCTTTTGAAACAAGTTAATGTATTCTCTGTGGTCACCTCAAAGGTCTCTACGGGGTCTTACAAAAGGCAAGTGTACGAAGTGCCTTCAGGAAAGCAGCTTGTGGACCAGGCTGTGATTGACAGGATAACATGGGCTACTTGGACAAGGTAAATGATTCACCTATTTACACCTGTTAAAACACCTGCAACTTCCAGGAGAAGCAACTCCCACTTAAAAGCATATTTAATCCCTTCAGTCAGGTATTTTCTTTTAAAACACCCATCTGCTCTGGCAGCAGCTCCCCTAAATGCAGCACAACAAAAGGCAGCACAGAGCAGACTCCCTCTGTACACAGAGGCTGTTTGAGCTGTAAGGAATCTGATAAAAACCCATCCCTCACATGTGTCCTGGTGCTCACTGGCTATCTCTGGGTGCTTTGATACAACTCTATCAGCCTCACTATTTGTTTCATTGCACTCTGCAAATTACCTGGAATAGTTCACTGTTTTTTTTCAGAATAGTGATGAGAGTACAGGGTCAGTTAAAACAGATCAATACACGACTAAGGTAATTCAAGTTTATTTACAGTACCACACTAATGGTGTCTGTATAAGTTGCTATTAACATTTGCATATTAGAAGGCATGCAAAAGTACTTTTAAATACCTTAATGTTTATTTCTTTCAAGATATTACATGACATATAATACCATATTTTATTTTTATTTTGCAGTTAAATAATTTGTTTTCTATTCTGTGAAAATCTGATTTTCTGTGCCCTTTTTCAGTCTCCGTTGCCTGCTTTTAATTATTGTCCTCTAATTATCACCCTCAGACAAAAATTGAGAATAAATATGTTTTTCCACATTAGAACCAATTTAAACAATAAGAACCCTGACTATTTGCTGAAATATGCAACTAAAATTATACTAAATTTTATATATATAAATTTTATATATAACTAAATTTTAGAGGGCTCTGCAAGCCTCATTTTGATAGATTTCTGGTTTTTGTTTAGGTAATCAATTTTTGTCACCTTTTTGAGACAAAAACAAGAAATTGGTCCTTCCTGATTCAATTCAGTATGTCTGATGTAAATCATGCCTTTTTGCATGTAGTGTACTGTGCCCTGAATTGGGGGGAAAGAATCACAGAAAAATTCCCAAATCATTGACTTATTAACAAATTATAAACTTCTTGGTTTTTTGCCTTCCTGGAAGTATGCATATGCCTTGCAATCAGAGCTGAGTAAAAGCCCCTTTTACAAGGCTTTGCAAAAGCATTTTTCTGGACTCTTAAAATAATTATGTTTTCAGGGCAGGGCAATTTTTCTCTCTCCGATTATAATTAAGAATCTTCATTGGACTCAGAGAAACTTTTCTTTCGATTGATATGAAAACTCTACAGAAGCAACAGAATATAATTATATGCAGTAGAGAATATACATTTTTTTTATTTTCCAAAAGCTGAAGCTTATTCATCTCAGGCTTATGCCATGGTGTTCTATTTCTAATTGTCCTTTCTTTATTCATTTTTTTCTTTTTTTTCCTTTTTTTTTTTTTGCAAATGCCTCACTAGAAAATAGTAGTACTATTGATTTCACCTCTGGTACTCTCACATTGCCATGGGCCACATTATTTTTGGGAATTATATCACTGAATCAGTTTCAGGGGCAATTATGGAATGATTCAAAAATTAATTACAGAATAAAAGCTATATAAGGTATGCATGTGTGAGAATAAAATGTAAACATTGCATTTTTATAGAAGCAGTTAGAATATGAGATCTGCTTCCTATTTCCTGACTCTTGTTTTTGCAGTGTTCTTCAAAATAATTTCTTGATCTTCTGTTTCAGTGTTCTAGGGGATGAAGTAATTGGAATCTGGTCCAGGCATGCTGAAAAAGCTGACGTGAACTGTGCTTGTGTCTCTCACTCGGGAATCAATCTTGTAACAGGCGATGATTTTGGCATGGTCAAACTGTTTGACTTCCCATGTCCTGAAAAATTTGTAAGAACATGTTTTTGCATGGTTACAACCACAAGAGCTGTTGATATTAGGATCTTGTCTTGTTTCTCTAGAAAGCATATGGTGGAAATATTTTCTTCTCTAAATTTGTAGCTTTTTAATAGCTCCTTATCTCTGTAGTCTCACACGCAAGTTCCACATCAGAGTTTCCCTACCATTTTGTGCAAGAGCCCTTGCTATAACCTCTTGTAGGTGTTGATATTGTCTGCCAGTCTGCTTTAGCATAGTGCCTGCCTAATGAAAATCTCAAAGGCCCTAATAATTTCTCTGATCCATTTGCCAGATGAGGAAGATAGCTGGTGATTTTAGTCTCATCTGTGTATCTGCATGGATGAAGAGTTTACAGATTTTTCACTAACATTGTTAAATTGTTTTACTGGTTTTTATACTTTTAATTTAAAATGTTTTTTTAATTTATTTTCACTGTTAATTTTCAAGATTTGAGACTGTACAGGGTAAACAGCTCACACAATTGCAATGAAAATGTTTTGTTTTCAGAGTGAGGAACTTTACACAAAACTTGGAAGCTAGTCATGTGACAAGATGTATTTAATATTATTGTGTTAGCTTGAGCATTCTTTCCAATTTGCAAGTTCTCTCTTACTGGCTGACAATTTAATCTGCACTGCAGCTCAATTGTAGTTCTCCTTCATGAGATCTTTCACATTTTATAACCTATATAACTTCTGGGCATTATAAATATGTGATGCAATAAAAAGGCAGATAAAAAAACATGCACGCTTTTTTTGATTTAGGAGGTTACAGAATATTTAGACTCTCTCATACTGTTGTTGTTTGGGTTTTTTTTCAGGCAAAACACAAAAGATTTTTAGGTCACTCTGCCCACTTAACTAATATTCGATTCACAAGTGGAGACAGATACGTGGTCAGTGCCGGAGGGGACGACTGCAGGTAGGTGTCCTTGTCATTGCTGTCAGGGTCTACACACCACTGGACATGGGCAGTCCATAGCAGTGTAAAGCTCAAGCTCAGGCTTTTATGTGTGTGCTTGCTTTCCTGTTCGTACATAGAGAAGAAGATGTTTGTGACAAAATAATATCCCAAATGTTAATGTGAACAGCTGATATTTAATAAGTTAAAATATTCACATGAATATCCAGAACATCGTAATTTCAATGGGAATTTATTTTGGCTGTGTTAGCCATTTCTTTTAACAGCTTTGTATAGCAGTTATAACAGTCTTCTATAGCTCATATTTAATATCTTTTTTGAAAACACAGCTTATTTGTTTGGAAGTGTGTGCATATGCCTCATTGAGAGAGACATGGAGACTTGCAAAGAGGAAACTGCATGAAGTACCAGGCATGAAATACCCAGGATTGCGATGTGACATTCTACTGTGCCCTGCATGCGTAAGAAATGACCCAAGACACAGAGCAATCTGTCTCTGAAAGACCTGGAGTCTGCCAGAAGGATGGACTGTCACAGACACACTGAGGATGCTAGGTTTGCTTCAGTGTCAGATAATCTGGGTTTGTATTCCACTCACTGCCAGATGTTGAAAACAAAATATGTGGATGAAAGGAAAAAGTGAATTGTTAATCAATGTACAGTTTCACTGCAAGTTCTTGGGGTTTTAATCAAGGGATGCTATTTCTGACCTAGTGCTGTACATTGATCTATTTTCAGCATGAATGTTTTTCCTTTAAGTTTTGAGGTCTAAATAGCATAGATTAAAAGAGTATTCCATATTTTATTACTGAGAGAGACCATATATTAAGTCTTAAATAGATAGTATTTTAATAAAGGTTTAATTATTATAATGGAAATTATATTTCTATGGCTGGTCAAAAGGAAACATCATATCTGATGAAGCAGAAAATAATAGAGTTGATTCCTTATGACTGAAATATTTCTGTATTTAGAGGCCTGGGTCACAGTCATGTCTGGTGAAAGCCGTTGGATATGCATGATCTTCATGGCTAATTTAGTGTTTTTGTTGCACTTAAACATTAAATTAGTTCTATGAGCAAAAATAGATTTGCTCACTTTGCGAGTGCCTTGCCCACTACTTAAAAGTCTAACTCCAATTTTTGCCTTGTGAATAAAAGTATTCTCAGTGGAAGAGAGATTATTGCTGTGTTACTTGACTGGGCTCTCTTGATTGTGAGCCTCTGCTGGAAATGAGGACCAGGGTGAGGATTTTGTAGTCTTCTTGTCGATAAAGTTTGGGATGTCAGCAGTGGCAAAAATAGAATTTCAGAGCAATATGAATTGATTTTATTTTCTCAGCATCATAGGGGAGATTCAGAGAGAACTTTCCGAGCACTATATTTTATACATTTGAACTTTTTAATAGAGCTAGGACTAGCTGGGACATGTCTCTATTCAGATTTCTCTTCTGATTGTAAAAAATGTCCAGTCATCTGCTTCTTTGAATGGACCTGCTGTCACCTCGAACATTTATTCTATCCTGCAACATAACTGCGATTCTAAGTTGGAAAAACATTTCAGTGATAATAAAATCCTGAACAAAGCTGTGCTTTGGGTACAAGTGAGGAAGATTTCATCAGCTGTTTGTCTAAATCATGTCCTAGAGAAGCATTAAAGACAGTAATGCTGTAATATAGCATGCAATATAGCAGGGATCAAAAATCACTAATTATCAGCTCTGCTCTCATTGTGGCATTCTGCTGGGAACAGAAAGATTTCTTTCTGTGTAAGCCAGCATTGCTTTGACAGTGGCACTTGTGTCAGTCAGTCAAGAGGCTTTGATATTTTTCATCTCTTGCATTTTCTTATGCCAGATGAAAAATAAATAAACCTCATCTCTTCTTGTAATCATCTTGTGTGCGTATTGGTTACAGAGGGAATGGGAGGGCTTGCAGGTAGAAGAGAAGGACGAGAAAAGTTACAGAGCCAAACTTTTGTGCTCTCCTTCTCTCCTTGTTTTGTGGTATACAAAACTAGTTATGCAACTGTCCTAGGTAACACATTTTATATATCGAAGTATAACAAATATTTATTTTAAAGAAGTTGATGAACTAGACAGTTATCAGGTTTCTCAGCATGACGGTTCTCAGCAAAGTCTTGCCAGTCATGCAGCTGCTATTCTACTGGAGTAAAAGCTCTGAGGATTTGGTTGTGAGTGTACAGGGAGAAGATCTTGCCAGTAATGTTTTTGAATTTAGGGGAATTGCATATGAGAGTTGTGATTAGACCTGATGTGTCTCATAGCCTTGTTTCCTGCCTGTCTGTTGTACATGAAAATGAGTCTCTGGTGTTTATATCTTCTCTTTACCAGAGAAATGGTTTGCAGTGTGCTCTTTTATGGCTGTGACTCGAATCCCTTATTAAACACATCTGTGCAGGACTTTTGGACTTGAAGTAAGATTTGTCCTGCCTCTATTTTAAAGTTGCCTTTCATTGGATCAAGATGGATGACTGTTAAGAACTCACTCATAGTCTGTCCTACTCAGACTGCCAGATTAAAGTCCATATTTTTCTGTCTCTGAGTTTCCCCGACAAAATCCTAGGCTGTGCAAGCTCTTCCATAGGCCTTCACCCAGTGAAGGAGGTATGTGGATCAAGAGGGTTTATTCCTCAAATCCCTGTCACTGATCCTCTTCTCCTCCCTCCTCCTATCCCCTTCATTAATGCTGTGCCTCTCCACTGATGATTTGTCCATTGGTGCTTTTCCCCTGAGGAATCCCAAAGGCCACACCAGAGCTGAAGAATGAGCAAAAGAGGGGCAGGAAGGACAGGGCTGAGGGCTGCAGCCTCCAGGGCTCCCTGCTTCTGCACTCTCTTCCAAACCTCACCGCTACTGTAAAGGGCTGGGATGGGAGCTGGAAGCTTAAACTGACAGCGTTGTTCCTCCTCTTGCAGCTTGTATTGGTAGCCAGTGTTTTCCCTGGTGAAACTGCTCTGTGCTTTGCCAGGTAAAATGGGGGCAGCCGGCTGGGAATGATCACAAATGTTGAGGAGAAGAGTGAGCAGAGCATCAGCTGCAGGTTGGAACATAATGTAGCTGTGATTCTCTGCTGAAGTGAAGAGCTGGCTGTCAGCATGGTCCGAGCTGGCAGCTCGATGGTGTTTTTGGTCTTTTTGTCTGTGATGGTGCTTGCTACTGTGCCTCATTTGCTGTTTACATTAAATGCTACTGTAGTAACTTGCTAATTGTTGCCACCCATGCTTGAAGCATGTTTACATGGGAACTGATAGGCAGTGGGAGCTCGAGGCTGGAAGCTCCACAGAGAAGTCAGAGGATGACAGAACCCTGTCGGATAGGTCAGGAAGAAGCTGGAATGTGGAGGGACTAGTGACAGCCTTTCATCTGGAAGCATCAGAGAGAACTGAGAGCAGGAGGGCTTTGCCTGAAGCTGGAGAAAACCTCTTCTGGGGTTATACATCACCAGGGAAGGGGAGGCAAAAGTTCTTTGAATATTTTAATCACTCATAGTGGATGATTTTTTACTGTAGCTCATCTTTTTGGTTAACAGCAAACATACATCTTTGGGATCTTTAGTCAGCAATATTTTTGCTAATAAAAGAAATTAACTAGAGAACTGAGTATAAATAAAATAACACTTCACTTAATAAAATAAATATGCCTTTGAAAGCTAATAAGCATAATTAGAAAAAAGAGAATAAGGAAAATCCAGCTCCTAGGAGTAAGGAAATATAAAAAATAAACATATTTAAAACTGAAAGTTGCCATAGTGCAGGAACTGAAGAACACAGTTGGGAATTAGGCCAGAGAGAGCAAATTAGCCAAATATGTAGAATCATTTAGTCTTGATTTTTTTTTTCTTTTTTTTTTTAATCTCAAGAAGGCAGTCAGTATATATGACTTATTATTTTGCTAGGGAAAGCAAGAAATGCTGTGAAACTAAAGGATAGGACTTCAGAAAATTAAGGGTGTTTTATCACTTGATGACAGCTGAGGAAAAGTGTACATTCAGAGCAACTCCTGGCTTTGCTCTGTATCAGGATTTCGGTGTTAGCAAGATTCATTTCAGCAGAACTGAACTTTCTATCAGGTTAATGCTGACCTGGAATTGTGCCATCAGAAAGCAGGTCCCCTGCAGGTGAGACATCTTCTCAGTCTAAAACAAGACCAACACAAAGGACTTCAGTATGAAGAGCAGGACTTGGATAGCATTCAGGAGAGACTTAGTTTAAAACCATGATCCAGTTCTCTCTGCTGCTGCCTGAACCACCTCAGCCCCACTGTCTGAGCTGCCAGTTTGCCAAGAGACCCAGGGCCCTTGAGGCGCCCAAGCGCCAGCCGTGCTGCACCTCCTCTGCCTCGGGATCCCGCCCAGAGCCCGGCCTGGATGGGCTGGGCAAGTGTAAGAGTGTCACAAGCAAAGGATCTTGTCTTCAAATACAGCATTTAATTAGGCAAGGTGACATGTTCCCTGTTTCATTATCAGTGTCAGAGATGTGACCAGCCTTAATCCTGAAAGTGTTTTTTTTAAAAAATTATTTTAAAATAAGCTATAGACAGATGTCTTCTTGTCAATGTCTTGGACAAAGTGGAGCATCCTATAGACTCTGCAGAAGGAAGTAAGACTGCAAATCACAAAATGAATTGCCACATCAGTGATGTAAACACCCCTAGTTGCATTGCATTTGTATGCTGTTTTGTTCTAATTGTTGGGTTTTTTTGCTTCCTTGCAGTCTGCTCTGTTTTTCTAAAATTGTTAGCAGCATTTGATTTCTGCTCATGTGGACAGATCCATGTGCTTGCCAAAGCCTGCTGTCATTCTTCATACCACTCATTCTTGGGTGATACCAAGCCCATTTATGTTGTTGGCCCTGGCTTCTGCTCTTCCCTTAACTTTGACTTCAGGCTTGAACTCTGCATACCTCCTTTTAGAAATAAAAATAGAATAGTTTTAGGTGTCTAATATGCATAAAAGTCACAATAGATTTCCTTGCCAAAATAATTTACATCTGAGAAGTACTAGGTGGTTTCTCAGTCTTTGATGCTAGAACAGGTAAACACCATCCTTTTCCAGTTTACTGTCAGCAAACTAATCAAAACCTTGATACCTTGATCTGCTTTTTTTTTAACTGTGAGATCAGCAATCCAACCCATTCACTACTTCTTTGGAAAGGAAGAGGGAAAATAAAGCATGGAACATGTGTTCCCTTCTCCATCCGTCTGTTTAAAACAAAACAACAAAAGGTGTAAGGTCTTAGCATGATGACAGCAGGCAATTCTTCTAATTTCCATAACTGCCTCTTCCTTTTGGAATTAAGGAACATAGGGCAGAGGAAGCAGTAACAGGAAAACAGTAAACAAACACGGATGAAAGGCAGAAGAAAGGGAAGTAGAGAAAGCAACACTCAAAAATAAGC